GTTACTCCAATTGAACAATTAATATTGAAAAGGAAAATGTAATTTTATGAAAAGTCATAAATTTCCGAAAAAACGTTCGAAGATTCAAAAATTTGATTTTCCCAAACCTATTAGTTTTTTCTAACCAGAATATGATATATACGCTAAAACATGTACGAATGTCGAAAGATTTAATCTCGACTAAAATTGATGCCAGATTTGCCAGCGTAATTTTCGGTAAAAGTATCAAAGGTTCCACAAAAAAAACTATCAAAAAGTCAAATAAATTTGATCTTACCGAAAACTGAACTAATTCTGTGCAAAAATGGAGCCAAGCCCCTTGCGCCAGGAATATTATCAAAACCTGCTTTTTCGACTGAATCCTTATTTTAACATATGAGAGGGTAGTTTTAGAGGAAATGGGGAAAAATTTCAAACAAGTGACAAAACTGTCAAAAATGACCTTTTTTGAGGCCACAATCTTTTTCTATTAAAGTAAGTATCTCACTTGCTCTTTCGTCATTGAAATCTTAATCTTACACTTAGCATGATAGACTCTTAGAAAAAAATACAGAAAAATGAGTCAAACATACCCGACTTTAAACTTTCGAAGGCATTTGAAGGTGGAGTAAGGTTAACAAAGACTATGGAAATAGGCAGACATACAATATGACAACCGGTTTCTCATTGGTGCCGTTTTTTCGAAAATCAGTCAAGAGCTTAATGAGGAAAAATTAAATTTCAACGAAAATGAAAAAAAAATTGTCAAAATCTCAAAATGATTTAAAAAAGGATTTCATAATACCTAATTTTGTCGAACATAAACTCTTTGGCCTCGCAACTAAGCTACAAAAAATGATTATGCAACCAAACATATGCAGCCAAAATCCGTTTAATTAGAAAAAAAACTAAAAGTCACGTTTTAAATAAGCATCTGAAATACTTGCACCGACTCATAACAGGAAGCTTTTAAATTAAGCTATCGAATATTTAAAGTTCAATATTTATCAAAATCGATGTAAAATTTTCGAAATTCAATTTTTTATTGAATTCTGCATGCCTACCTTGCTTCCTGGAAAAACTCAATTGTTTATTTGCGGACATTCAAAAAAGATTAATTTACAGCTACTAAAAGCTATCTAAAAACTCTCAAATCTTATGTCTTTTTTATTAGTATAAGGTATGCACTAATTGCCTTCGAATTTCTATTTTCAGTACTTCGCCTTTGAAAGTAAAAATTTCAACTTATAAAATGTAGCCAACAAACAATTAATAAAAAGAGTCCTCGAACGCAAAAAGTAAAAAAAAACTATTGGCGGGTTTTTTGAAAAAACTCAAAATTTGAATTTCAAATGAAAGAGATGGCCTCAAAGCTTTTTGAGTTTCTGAATCAATTTGAGACAAGCAATTTTTTGAGAAAAATAACCCAATTTTTTTAAATTTGCTGGTAAAAGTGGGAAATAATTGAATTCAGTTTTCGAAGCTTGAAGTCGATTACGTTTTTCGTGAACATACATTTTTTTGCTGTTCAATAGCGAAGTTTGCCTTTCTTTTAACGAAGAAAAAAAAGTTAAAAGAAACCAAAAGTCAAACCGCAAAAAAGAAGATGAATATCCTGTGCTACCTGCACAGCAACCGACTCTTCTAGTTTTTATTCGTTTTCAGGCGATGGATTTAGTTCAGTTGCTGTGCAGGTAGCACAGCAAATTTCTCCATTACAATAATTATTGCAAAGAAAAAACAGTTTATCGTTTTATTTTTTCGTATTTTCTGTTGATAATATTTTAAGGAAATGGAGGGACTACAAGATACCTTCGAAAAAATTAACAACAGCTTTATCGGCCTATAATCAAACAAAGAGGCCAAGCGATGAAACTTAAAAATTGAAAATGACGCGGAGGTCACTGAGTCGGAAAAAATCTACATTGGAAACTTCATATGTTTGTCTCGAATGATATTCAATTGAAGGAAAACAATCCGAACAACAATCAAGAGCGATAAATTAGTATTCAGATAACAAATATCAAGCGCCACCTAAGCCGACAAAACCTGGTAAGACGAGCGTTGAAAAAAAAAGTAAATTAACACGAACTATTTTGAGCCATTAACAAATATCAAGCGCCACCTAATCCGACAAAACCTGGTAAGACGAGCGCTGAACCAAAAACTAAATTACCACAAACTATTTTGAGCCATTAAGTTTTAAATTCGAAGGTTTTTCTCCCTTTATGAACAATTTTACAAATTAAAGGAACGAATCAAAACACCTTTCATTTCTAGCAAAATTGCTTAAAACGGAAGAAAAATGCCTATATTTGACAGTAAGCCGACAAAAAATAGGCAGGCAAACAATAATCCTATATCACTTTCCCAGAAAACAAATAAGATTAAAAATCAGCTCCTGGCTCTAGTCCAGTCTCTGACCTTTGTCGTCTCACGCTTGTACGCTTGAAACGTAACCACCACACTAAACAAGCCAGACTGGTACCAGATACTTGTTATACTACTTAAATAAATGAGGCACCGAGGTGAAATTACGCTTCGCACCACCTGCGATACAAAATTGAATGACTATGACTAAAAACAATTTTAAATTAAAAAAAAAGAACATCAAAAAATCGTATAAAATTGTAAAAATTGCAATAATAGTCTAGAAGAATCAAAACCAAAATTACCAGCAACATCAGAGCTTCAGAAAAAGCTTTCGGAATGCTACAAAGAAGCCAAATTTTCAAATAGAGCCAACAGACATTTGGAAAAGAGTCATGAACGCAACGACACAGAAAAAAAAGTAAATTGTTTTTTTGAAAACTTCATCTTTAGAATTTCAGCATTAACAAACAGATGGCCTTAAATCTCTTTGAATTTTAAGAGCAATTCATGAATAACTCTTTTTTTGATGAAAAACAATGTGACAAAACTGAAACAATAGGAAAAAATTTTATTCAGAGGAAATCTGAAAACTAAATGCCACTTTCAATACTAGAAGCCGATCACGTTTTTAGTTACCTTTTTTTGCTTTTTGATAGTGGAGTTTGCCTTCCTTTCAACAAAATAAATGAAGTGAACTTAAAAAGAGCAAAAGTCAAACCGCGAAAAATCAAAATTTAGCGTGAACAAATTTTAAGACTATTTCCTGGAAGAAAATCACCAAGTCCTTTCCAAGAGTATTCACCCAATTCGGACTCTTAAAAAACCCTTTCTGAGCCGACAACAATAAGCAGACAAATAATAATCTGAACTCGCTGAAAACTTTGAGTTTGCTAAAAAAAAAAACAGGACAGGCGTCGACTGGAACCGAAATCCCGAGCTTTGTCGTCTCAAACATGGGTGTTAGAGCAACTTGAAAGACAGTTGAACCTTAAAACATAACCAACTGACAGTTGGAAAAGATTAATGACCGCAATGCAACTGAAATAAAAACTGACTTGTATTTTCAAAAATCTTCAACTTTTGAATTTCAAAGAAAAAAATAGATGGCCTTAAAGTTTGAACAATTTATGATGAACACTTTTTTTGTTTAAATTAACCCAATATGAGAAAACTGGATCAATAGGCAAAACTTTTATTACTTTGAGAAATCTGATAACTTATTTCCATTTTGAAAATTAGAAGTCGATCCTGTTTTTCGTGACCTTTACAATTTTGCTTTGGGTAGTGGAGTTTGCCTTCCTTTCAACAATAGAAATGCATGAACTTGAAAGGAAATCACAAGTCAAACCGTATAAACTCAAAATAATTGAGCGTGAACAAATTTTCAGACTTTTTTCTGAATAAAAAAAAACAACAAAAAATCGGCAAGACTTAAATAAGAGTACTCACTACGTTCATTACTCTTAAAAGACGGCTACGGGAATTCAGCCGACAAGAATAAACAGACGGACGATAGTCCCGGTCAAAATCGAACCAAAAGCTGTTGCCCTCTCGCGCAGCTAGGTTGCCTCTATGCCAGATGCAGCGGATGGGTGTTTGAATTTGGACTAACAAAAGTTGTAACAAACCCGAACATAAATGAACAGATACGCTTCATGCCGAAAAATCTGAACTAATAAAAAAATCCCCTTCCCCTCAGACACACACAAAAAAAACATTTTTCGGTTAACAAACGACGCAATAAGAGGCCATTAAGTCGACATAAAAAAGCCGAAACCTATTCAGTCAAAAAAAAAACATGGAAAAAAATTGAAAAACGAACATAAAAAGCAAACTTTGATTACGCCAGATATTTATAGTGCTAACATACTCAAAATATGTCCGTTGCAACGAAAAGGACCAGCACATGAATGTGACTCCTTTGAGCAGCGCGGATTTAGGGGATTCCCCTCAGGGATTCGATCCCTTCCGCCGACCCAAAAAGTCCCTCATTTGGAACTTTTTAAGAAATCCTTTTTTTAGCTGAGACCCTAAAATTTTTCTAAAGGCGCCTTTGGCACCAACTTATACTAATTTCGAGGTATAGCGCGCGCCAAAAAACACGCATTTTTGTCTTAAGGTTCCGAAAAATGCCCAAAAACGTTGTTTTTTTAAAAAAAATTCCTGCGGCGGAAAAAACTCGTCAAAACGCTTCGAAACACAATTTAGTCGACTTAAAAAAGTCTACTTAATTTTCAAAATCCGCCTCCTCCCCTCGAGAAATTCCTAGTTCCGCCCCGCCTTTGAACAAAATTATTTACCGGAAAAAGTACCCCATTGTAGTATCCTTTCTTATCACAAGGGTAAATGATATAGTGATTTTGTGAAACAAGCTGTTAACCCGATAAAAATCTAAATTCCGATGTGATAACTCTTCTTAATTGCAAGCAAAAAAAACTATAGCTTAAAATGAATCAATGAACAACAACAACAACAACAACCACACCCAGGTAACATAAAACTAATTTTAACGGATATTGGTAACAATGCGAGTTATAGATCTGAAAAACAAGTTTGAAATCGCGAGCACGCGGTATATGAAAATGATATGAACGGACGGATCAAAGACAAAACATTCATAGCAGATAAACGCAAATATGAGCCCTTACCCTTTATTTTTCCTGAAATAACACTAAGATTAATCAATGAACTTGCAACTAACACCTCAATCTATTTCACCGAACTTTTCGTTTGACTTATTTTCAGAAACGTAAGACAAATTACCACTTCAATAAAAACAAGACACAGAGTAAGTGGACTTTGCCTACTTCAGCTGAAAAACTGATCGATTTGAAATTATTTTTAGCAAAAAGTTTAACGGATACTGATTCAAGCATTAATCGTGTCAATTTAATCAAATTTGTTATAATTCACGTCAATTATTGAGACTTGGATGCGACACCCTCAAAGCAAACCGATTGACTCGGAGTTGGTTACAATCGGTTCGCTTTGAGGGTGTCGAACAAGTTCTAGTAAAAAAGCCCAACTTATGTTAAAAAATAAAGGGCCTATTTCAAAAACGGAAAAAATTAGAACTTATTTTTAATTAATTGTACCTATAAATAGCGGCCTTTTCATCAGCCATAAATACGTCTTCTTCTTCTTCGTCGTCGTCGTTTTCACAGCCCAAGCTGTCTTCCGCATTTTTCGCGTTGATACTACCCCTCATCATTTCGAGTTGTCCCGGAAGGTGGGTGGACTTGTGGTCCACAGGTATATCTTCAGACGTTGAAGCCAAGTAGGTGAAGTTGCAATTCGTGTCTAATGAGGTCAGTTGATTAGGCCCAGTATAGAAGTCGCGGGGGGTCAAGCCGGTCGAATCCAACTTTGATCTGTTCCCACCTGGGGTCGTGACAAATACCGAAGACGATAACGATAAAGTGGTTCCCTGAAGTGGTTTTGAATCCCGATTCTGGACACTGACATCGGCTTGCAGCTCCTGGTCACTGCTGCGGGTGGTCAGATGCTCAGCCGGTAAGTGACTCGGAGTCGGCGACAATCGGTTCGCTTTGAGGGTGTCGAACTGGTCGTGAGAGTGGGGGTTGTTCACACTGATGGGGGAGAGTGCTAGAGGTGACGAGTGGGAGGATAGGGAGGTAGTTTTTGAGGTTGATACAGGAGACGACTAAAAAGAAACCATCTAAAGCTACATTTCAACAGTCCACTCATCAGACAGTAAAATTCCAGATCAGACCAGCACAAATTAACATACTTATCAAAAAAAACCGGCTTAGCAGAGAAGCTAGAAGAGGAGTCTTCTGACTCAGAGAGTTAAAAACTTAAAAACTATTATCAAGTTAAGCAATCTTAGACAAACCATCATCGATATTTATCAAATTAAGCAATCTTAGACAAATCATCTCGGATATTTGTGAGGCCTAGAAGCTCTGGTTCGAAATGACCAACAATAGTCAAATGACACATAGAAAACTGTCAATGAACTTTCAAAGTTCGAATAAAAAATATCACACAGCTTTTTTAAATTGCAGAATCTTAATAATGACATTTCCTTCATAAAACTAACTCACTTAATGAAAACTGGGCCATTACGTTTTTTTCCACTGAAAAATCTAAGAATTAAAGTTTGTAAAGAAACAGTCATATTTTTATAGCAATAAAAAATGTTCGCAATTATAGAGCTTAAAATGCCTTTCTGTTAAAAAAATTAATACGATTTTAACTTAAATCGAAAGTGAAACAACAAAAAAAAAATCAAATTTGAGCGGGAACAAAAGTGAGGACTCGATGTAGAAAAAAAACACAAAAGCTGAATATGTGTCTTCACCGACTACGTTGATTGGAACTTTGAAGAAGTATATAAGATCTGAAAAAAAAAAAAAAATGACAGACTTTCGAAGAAAAAACTATTTCACCTTTTTGCGTTTCCAGAACCTTCATGATTGGAAATTTTGGATAACACTAATCCAATTTGAGAAAACCAAACCAATAGATAGTTTTTTTATTCCAAAAGAGATCACAACAATGAAAACCATTTATGGGGATAAAACCATTTATGATTTAACCATTTTTTTTCTGTGCAACTCATTGCATGGTCATGTAATTTATACTTTCTTGACTACTTAAAAACGCAGAACTAGATTGAATGAAAAAAAAAATACGAAGGCAACTCAGTTGAAAAATGATCCAACTTCCATTCAAACGAAATACTGAATTTTAACTTCTGATGGAAGTTTAGTACAAGTTTTGATATTCTAATTTATGATAAAAGTTTGAACTCGTGCCAAGTTGGACTAATATTTAATGCAAGGTAAGATTTTTTGAAAAACTGAAAAAAACTATCACAACATTCTGCACCATTTACTTAAAACAGGCTAATATCAGGAGCGTATTCAGAGGATAACCCTTCAATTCAGACTGCAACCATCAATTTTAAGGTTGTGGCGATCATCTGAAGCATATATTTTGTCTCCAGCTTTCCAAAAAGTGACCAAAACGGATTCTTAAACATTTTCTGACGGTGTAGACATTTCGAAATACGGTATCCGTAGTGATTTAGAAGAGCTGAAAAAATCAGACCTATAAAAAAAGCTCGACGCAAAGTCTGAAGGTTTTCCAAAAACCCACCCCTCTCGAGGAAATCCAAGATTTGACCGGCTGAAGTCACAGCATACTTTACATGAGCGAAGGCAATCTCAAATTTCGAACGAGACAAACCCTTAAAATGGATCACGCGGGCGAATTTTTTTAAGCATCCAAACTCGTTTTTTCAGCTTTTCATAGTTCGTGAGTGAAAGAAAACGCCCGAAGATGTCTTTCTATTCCTTTCTCGAGCCTAATTGAAACGAAAAATGGCTTTACAGCAAAACATTCCGGGTGAGAAACCAATTGATCTGCTTCTGTAATAACTCATTTTCGGAGGTTTTTATTAAAAGCAAAATATTGATGGAATCAAATTTTTGAATTTAATGAAAACACTCAATTTAAAAGACTCTCTCTTTGTTTTTTTTTGAGTTTAGAGTAAAATCATAACTTAATTCAGTCAAAAGTTTCCATCAACAATTAGTGGCTGTATAAAAAAGCATAGATAAAATAGCATTAACTTTTGCTAGCTTTATTTCCGTGTAATCGCGTGCTTTTTTAACTAAGAACAATACATATGGTGATTCTGAAAGAACTGGATGAACATTTCGGCATCGCCATTTAGTGGAAGATGCATGACTTTTTATTCATTTTTGCAATTAATTTTTTTAAACAAAAAACTGAAAAAAAGGTAAGTTAATACTTTCCCTGTGCTCATTTACCAACCAAATTTCTGATATAAAAAAGGAGATCGATAGCCGGAATGTACTGGATGGTATTAGAATAAAGAAAATTTGATTGCCTAATATGTAATTAAACAACTTTTCAAAAATTTCAAATTTTATGCTATTCTATCTTTATGCTCAAGTTGCGGTCCCCCAATAATTAGGTCAATTTAAAACTAAGATAAATTCATCAACCACTTATTGGTGACAATTGAAGATGAATATCGCTCCGAGTACTTGATAATTCCAAAAACCAGTTGAAAAAATCTAGCATGAACAAAAGATCAATCAGGCAAGATTTATCCAGCTTGAGTCCAAGCTGGATCCAGCATGAGTCAATAAAAGCTTGAGCCAATAAATCCAGCTTGAGTCAATGAATGCAAGAAAACAAAAAATATTGACTTGTTTTTTGAAAAAATATATCAACTTTCGAGTTTGAAAGAAAAAATAGATGCCCTTAAAGCTCTTTGAAATTCCAGAACAAATTATATTTGACACTTTTTGATAAAATTATTCCAATTTGAAAAAACTGGATCAATAGGTAGAACTCGTATTTCGCTGGGAAATCTGATAAATAAACTCTATTTTCGAAATAGAAGTCAACCACGTTTTGAGTGACCTTTCCACTTTTGCTGTTTGATAGTGCAGTTTACCTTCCTTTTGACAAAGGAAATGAACTGATTTAAAAAAGGAAGTCAAACGCGAAAATGTAAATTTGAGCCTGAACAAATTTCAAGACTTGCTGCAAGAAATCATCAGAAACTATATGCGGGTCTTTCCTACGTTCATTAACTCCAGCATGAACATAAGAGACATCAGGAAAGATTTATCCGGCCTGAGATCAAATTCAGTTTTGAAGATAATATTAGCAAGGACAACTCAAACCTTTGGGGCCCAATTCGCAGTTGCGTCATAGAACATTGAAATGTTCAATATTAATCAGCTTATTAACAGTTCTTGTTATCCCTTTTATCCCGGGGAAGTTTCTCAAATAGTGCATTGATTAGCATAAAGAGCATTATTTCATATCATAATAGGGAATCAAGCAATTGAGCTCACTTTTCATATACCTTACCACAATCATTGATGCACAAAGTTTCATCGATTCACCTCTGAATGACTAGATTTTGACTCACTTTTGCAGTAGTGAAAACTCTATCTGTTGTTATTGCGCTAGAAAAAGGTACTACACCTTTAAGTCCAAACTAGACCAAATCAAACAAACTACGCCATTTAGTCCGAACTAGTCCAAATGAAAAAAAAATTGGAGTTCAGAAGATTACAAAGACGATTATTTCAATTGTGTGGGACGGAAATGGCACAGTAAAATTATTTATTTCACAAGGAAAACAATCAGAAAATTGGCCAAAACTTTGTTTCCAAGATCAGACACCGACTATCAATGCCATGGTAGCTGGAAAAGCGTCAATCGCTAGCCCCCAATATGGCAGATACAACGGATAATTTTTAATTACTAATGCTATGCAGCAAAAATGCAACAAAATGAGCGTCTTTATTTGCGAGCTTTAAAAACTTCGGTTCATAATATAACACGACGTTCGCATGAGTAAAAAACCCAATAAACCCAAAATCTTGTTTTTTTTGTTACTTTCGGAGTTTCTTTTCACGCAAAATCAGGTATCACAAACAAATGAGCACTTTTAATTGCGAGTTGAAATGAAAAACAAATTTTTAGTATAACACTCTGTCAACAAATCGCGTGTGTAATCTAGGAACAATACAACAATATAAAACAAAAATTTTAAAAATGAAGTTGTTGATGTTTAAATTTATCGAGGTCTTTTGAAGAGATCCTAGCGAGAAGAATTTTGAGTTTTCAAAACACATAGTGCCAAAGTTTTATCAACCTCAAATACAGCAATGCATTAAAGAAAAAAATGTTTAAAAATCATGAACCGCCCGTATAGCATCCACGAAAGCTTTTTATGTAATGTATGCAAAATAGTATACATAACGCAGTAGTAAATAGTTGCCTGATTCTTAAATTTTCAAGAAATTGAGCATATCAGCGGCACAGCAGCATCACATCTACTTCAGGTGATTTTGTTACACAAGTTGTTAATCCGAAAAACTTCTACATTCTGATATTAAAACGCTTGCTAATTGCAAGCGTAATAGTGTAAAAACCAAAAAAAAAACATAACCGAAAAACTGTTGGAAGATAGTCAAGAGAGGCAACAAAATTGCAAAAAATGTGACATGCTTTTTTTAAATATCTCAACTTTCCAAGAAAAAATAGATGCCCTTAAAGCTCTTTGATTTTTGAGCACTAATTATAATGGGCGCTTTTTGTATCAATTTGAGAAATCTGGATCAATAAGTAAATTCTACATTCCGCTGGGAAATCTGAAAACTAAATTCAGCTTTCGACACTAGAAGTCAATCTACCTTTTGGTGACCTTTACACTTTTGCTGTTAGATATTGGAGTTTGCCTTCCTTTCAACAAAAGAAATGAAGTCAACTTAAAAAAAATCACAAGTCAAACCGCAAAATAAATCAAATTTGAGCGTGGACAAATTTTAAGCCATTTTCCTGAAAAAAAAAACGAACGAAAAATCATCACGACCTATATTAGAGTCTTCAAAACGAACATTGACTCTTAATAACGAAAATTATCACTTTTGAATATGTAATATTTCTTCAATTTTTTCATTCATGCTTAAAAGCGTTGTCTTTTGATTACGCTTGAAAACTGAAAGCACAAAACTCGAGAGTTTCCACGTGATGTAAGAAGTTTAAGTTAAGAAATGGTTAAATGAAAATGAGTTAAATGCTAAATCTCACCTAACTCACGGTTACAGTTAGTGAATTATAAAGAAAAACAATGCAAAAAAATTAACAGTCGATGAATTAAAAATGCATCAACTGTGTTAACTTATTACTATTCGAATGTCAAAGCACATGCTATCAAGAAGCCATAAATGTGGCACCAAAATGCTTAGGTTAGAAACAAAAGAATAGCGGTACTATGACACTATGCTCACTTAAGTTCGCTAGTACAAACAAACGAAAATAAGGCTTTATAAATTTCTGAATTTCAAGAGAAATTTATAATAAGTAAATTTTTGATAAAAATCAACCAAATTTGAGAAAACTGGATTATTAGGTTAAAGTTTTTATTCCGCTGCGAAATCTGGAAATTAAATTATACTTTCGAAAGTAGAAGTCGATCACGTTTTTCGTGAGCTTTACACCTTCGCTGTTCGACAGCGCAGTTTGCCTTCTTTTTAACAGAAATGAACTGAACTTAAAAAAATATGAAACGTCAAACCCGCTAAAAATTAAATTTGAGCCCGAAAAATTTTTAAGGCTTTTCCTGAAAACAAACGGAAAAAAATCATCGCTACCTATATACGAGTCTGAACTACGTTGATCGACTCTTAAACACACAATACCTAAAAAAGACAGTCTTCACGTCGTCCATTGACACTCAATGAAAAGCATATGATTTAAGGCTGGTATCTGGACTCCTTTGACTTTTGAGCAGAAAAATATCACTGTGAGGCATCCTCAAATACATTTGACCGCATTTTTACCAAGTTATCTTTCACCCAACATCTCTGAAACAAGCTACTAATCGATACTAAAATCGGCGGTTACGACGGTAGGTCAACAAATCGAAGATAAGATTAACAGTGCAACAGGCCGAAAACTAATATTGTTTTGCAACATTAACAGATGAATGAATACTAGCGGTTTCTGCGATTCGCAGAAGATATATCGAAGGCTATCCAGGCTATCTAAGGCTAGTCCGTTTTTCACTGTCGCTAATTTCTACTTTAAAATATGATCCGCCTAACTTACACTGTTTGAACTGAGGTGATGCTGTTGCTTTTCGAACTCAAGCAGCTGTCCCATGAAGTTGAAATTGGGAGATATATTGGGCCTGCGTCTGCGCACGTGTTCTATTGCCTCTGCCAGTTGCATGCGTTTCGAGCAGATCAAATAGGCAATCATGATCGTCACTGATCGAGACACTCCAGCCAGACAGTGCACTAACACACTCACGCCACTAGATATTGCATCGTCTAAATAAATTATCACACGTAAATTAAAACCAGGGCTCTTTTCCACTCCCCCCCCCCCCCACATTTGAATTTCAGCCTGAAAAACTATTTTAACCGTTGTCATAATGAATCGAAATTTTGCATGGTGAACAAACTAACTATTGTGAACAGATCTGTTCTTAAAACATTACATCGTAACATCACGCGTTTAACCATAAACACAAGTGGAAAAGAGCCAAAACCAGTTATACTCCATAGACATGTACAAATATACATAGCTAACAGACAGTTGGAAAGTGTCATTGAACTCAGTGAAATTGAAAAGTAATGATTGACTAATTTTTTATGGGTCTAATTGTGGAGAATAAAATATATCACGTCAAAACTCCTAAATTTTAAAAATCTGTAAATTGGCAGTTTTTCAAAACTTTTAACCCAATTTGAGAAAAAAAGGATCAATTTTTATTATTTGCTAGGAAATCAAAAATTTACAATTCGTTTCAGCAACAAACTCATTCACCTTTGAGGGTGTAATTTGCACTTTCTTTTCTTATTAGGAGAGCGTTATTAGCCTGCCTTTAGCAAATGAATTTCAATTAAGCTTGAAACACAAGGAGAAGCCTTGGAAAGGTGGTATTTTTTATATTAGGCTAGAAAATCTAATAATTAAAATCCACTTTCGAAGCACATCTGCATTTTCGTAATTGGAAAGTAAAATTACTTTCCTTTGAGCTAATTAATTTGAATTGAACTAGGAAAAAGATCAAAACCAAACCGCAGAAATAAATAGTCAAATTCTAGGAAATAATTAACAAACGGCCCTCCAACTACTAACTAAGCAAAAAAGCAATTAAGCCGACAAAAATGAGCTAGGCAAATTTTAGCCCATCAACACTTTCAAACTGGAAAATGGACGGAACTATGTCTTTATATTGAAATCAGGTCAGGTACCGATATAGCTTAGCTTCAGTTGAAGTGGAGTAGATACCATTTGGGGGAAAAATCATGACATCTGCTGAAATACGTGCTTGAAATTTAGACACATTGGTAAAAGGAAAAAAGTCTAGTAATCGATTATAAAAACTCAAGTTTTGGGTTTCAAATCATTAACGAATTCAAATTGAAGTTGCTTAGCGTTGCTCGTAAAATGTTAGATTTCGATTGGTGAATATTCGAACTCAGAGCCAAATTGAAGAAATTTGAAAAATCTTCCTGAAAAAAAAAGAAGTTTGGCAAGCGAGCTTTCAAAAACAAGCAGCAGCTTTTCTGAAAAATGTAAGAAAAAAGCAGGTGAGGGAACAAATGAGGTAAGCGAAAAACCAAAAACCAGCTTGTTGCTTCAGTTCAAAACTCAAGTAAAAAACGATTTAATAAGAACTGGTGCGTGACTACTCTTCTTCTCTTCAGCTAAACCACGATCCCTCACACTTGCGCACTACTGTCGATAAACTACAAAAAAAACCAGAAGAAATTTTTGGAGATACATAACAATAGGTGGCAGATTCAAATTAAATAGCTGGATCGAACTTTGTTTTAGTTCCAACTGCATTTTTGATTTATCTCAAAACTATCTGAATTTTTGAAATACATTTCATCTGACCGAACAGGGTATTTACAAAAAACCATTTTAGTAGAATGTACAATTTACTGGAAAATGAAATTAATATTTTATGCAGTAGGCTGCTCATAAGTAAAACACATGCATTCAGGGGCGGATCACAGATATTCTCGAGGGGGATTTTTGAAATTTTTTCTATTTTGACCAAAAATTCAGTTATTTCTGTCTGAATTTTTATTCGCCAGCTTGAAATGCCGTGTTTGTGTTCTATTGATTCCACAACAGTCTACTGCTGTTTGTTTAGGCGTTGAAAGTTTTTCAGAGCTTTCAAATTTGGGCGCAATATTACAATAGGTGGAAACATTAGTAATGCATGATTCATTACTAATGTTTCCATCTATTGTAATATTGCGCCAAAACTTAAAAGTTCTGAGAAAACCTTCAACGCCTAAACAAACAGCAAAAGAATTATCTATAGACAGAGAGGCGAAGCGGAGCTTCCCATCACTTGCGATACAACGCAAGCACGGCATCGCAAGCTAGCGAATAGAAGAGCAGACGGAAATAGCAAAATCGAAAAAACATATATTTTGAGACAAAACGTAAAATATTTCTTAATAAATATGAAGAGCACAACAAACAGCATTTAATGAGTCTTAAAGTTTTAAACGCAAAACCACTAAGCCAACAATACAATCATTGAGCCACAAACAGCCGTCTAAGCAGCTCAAAAAATGAAAGCAAAAAAAATGCCATAATAAATAAGTGACATTAAAAAAATTTTGAGCGATTAAGTTTCAAAAAACTTTGAACTTTTGTAGGGCAAACAACCTAAATCTTCCACCAACCAATTTTTGCCCTTAAGTTGGCAGAAATCAAAATAATTAAGCCAATAAAACATAAGCCGAAAACAATCAGATCGAATGAATCTTTCAAGCGAAACTAAAACAAAAAAATATATATGTGGAATCAGGGCTATTAATTTATAAATTACATGAAAACATCATAAACACTTGTATCTACGCCAAAAACTGCTGATCATAAAATTTTTTTACAAGAAGGCAACTAAGCCGACTAAACAAGATCAGGAAAACAAAAATCCGACAACTGAAATTTTCCCGGAAAAATTTATTTATAATTTCTAACATACTGAAAAAACAAGGTCCGGCCGGGACTCGAACTAAGAACTTTAGGTTAAGGAGACAACCGCGTTACCTCGAGGCCAAGGGGGACGAAAGTGCAAAAGTTCACTAATAAAATAACTTCAATTTTAACCTCAGGTGTAAGAAAAGTTGTTCACGGGGAAAAGTCAAATTCACGATTACTAGACACTTACTTTCGCAAGAGTAATTATAAAAGTTGAGACGTTTGGCATGCCGGATGTTTGACACATCAGATAATTGCCCCAGACCCAAAAACTAAATGATTACATAACAACAAATCAGAGTCGGTGGGACAGGTTTTTAAGCAGACCACTTTTTTGGTATGAAAAGTGAAAACTGAGTCTTTTTACTAACTGACGTAATCAAACTGAAGCATAGTGGTTAAAGGCCGGCCGCTTTGGCTAGATTAAGTCAATTTACCATGCAAGCTTGTACCGAAATTTTGTTGGTGGAGATAAAAAAAGCCAAAAAAAAATTGATAGAAACAATTTCCAATTTTCGAAAAAAAACTTATCATGCTAAAGCTTCTTGAATTTTAAAAATTATATGTGAATGGTACCTTTTTTTTCAATCTATCTATCCGATTCTACAAAAATTAAATGAATCGGTGACTTTTTCCATTCCGCTGGGAGTTCAGAAAATGAAAGTGTATTTTTGAAACTGATACTCCTTCACATTTATGAAACCTTCAAACTTTTGATGTTTGATAGTGGCGTTAGCCTGACAACGGAAATGGACTAAAATTGAAAAGAAACCAATAGTCAAACTGCAAACAACCAAACTTGAGCGTGAACACATTTTGGAATTTATCCCGAAAAAACCTGACAACCCATACGAGTCTTCACTACGTTCATTGACTCTTGAAAATACTTGAGTAACACTGATTCAGATCCCAAAAGAAGATTTCGCGAGAAAGAAACATCTTTAGTCGTCCAAAAACAGCTTTTGCCATTCAGGATTAATGCACTGCGGAAAAGAATTGAATTTAAAAAAATGAAAATCAATCCGCGAAAAATCAAATTTGAGCGCAAAAAATCAAAGAGTCGAACCTAGAAAATCGAGTCTCAAGTCGTTCTTTCTCAGCCACAGACGCTTAAATATCGCCAAACACCAGCGGCAACCAATGCAGAGAACAGATGTTATAAAATTGCCAAGGCTACAGATTATGACTATAGCAATCTGTAGCCTTGGAAATTTCAAAGTACCTGTAAAACATTCTTCAAAAATCAGGACCAAATTTCAAAAATGGGCATAATATTAACCAAAATGAGCGACATAGGATCGAATGTAAAAAAAATACTTTGAATCCAAATTGTGGGAGTCAATGAATACTTTTCGATGATTTTTGGCACTGCTGAACAACATTTCATTTTTCGGCACTGTTGTACTGTGGCACTGTTGTACTACCCCTTAAGAAGCTTTCAACAGTGCCGAAAACCAACAGTGCAAAAAAAATCTGTTCGACAGTGGCGAAACTTTAACGGGCATTTGAAATGCAGTCATGCTCAAAAATTGTTTATTCAATGATAGAACTACAGATGGTCATCACTCACCAACATCAGTAATCTTGTAGAAAAAGTTGTTTACGGGGAAAACGTAGAGTGCCAGATTGCAACAGCTTTGTTTATCGCAAGCGTTCGAAAAAATTATGTCGTAAGAGAGTATCAAAGGGTGAAACTTGGGTGGGCAGGGGTTCTAATCCCTGGGGTAAGGGGAAAAGAGGAGATCAACCTCATCCGCTCCCACCTTTTCTTTAGATTCTTTCGCAGTCTTTTTTTTTCGAAACACGTAATTTTCGAAGCAAAAATTTCGAGTACCTAACAGTGAGTACCTAACGGCTTCCCATTAATCCAATTAACTTGATATCTTTAAACAAAAGACAGTCATGTGAACAATTTACCCGAAAATTACCAAATGAACTATCACCCTCTAAAGCTAAATGGCAAATTTAAGCAATGAGCCAGCATGCACAGCGTTGAACTCTCATTGGATGAAAAAGATTGCAGCCAACTAAGTGAAATATCTCCTATCTGAACATATTTTGGGACAAGATTATTCACTTAATCCTAATTAGTTTTAGTTTCTCCAACATTCGCTACGTAAAAAGTTTGATTATTTCCCAGAAGGAAATCAACTTTTGGTTAATTAAATATAATCGATTGAAAAATTCCCAAAATTCATACATTATTTATTAAGCAAGGAATGCCGAATTTTTTTGTTTATTGCGTGTGTTACGTCAGTAAGACAAAATTAAACTATCAAACTGAGAGAAACAGATTTCTTTGTATTTTTTCCTCACCATCGGATACATAGTGACTATAGAGGTAGTTACAGACATTTTAATTTTATCGCAGATTTAACCTACTGACATTTGAGCATTTAACTGTCACTATTTTGCTTATGACGTCCACGTTTATTTCGAAAGCCTTGTTCTGTTTCAGAAATCCGGAAACTACCCAAACCTTTTGTTTGATTTCCTTCGATTCACACCCAAGCATTTCATTGAAACGACAAAAATAGAGCAGTAAAGTAAACAAAACATACATCTCCAATATCTACAAAATATTGAATTTTATATTAAAAACAAGGAAAGGCTAGTTGATTACCCGCCCCACTTGAACAATCTCTCCCTTATAGACCAAGTTAAAAACTTCCCCCTTAAATTAAATGGCAAATACAAGCCGTACGGCCTGAATGTACTATGCTCAAATCTGATTGGCTGAACGTTATTCCCGAAACATTCCAAACATTAGCCATAAACATTCCAAAAAGAAAATAATCCAAACTTTTCGTCTCAATTTTCGATTTTATGAAATCCTCGAGGAAGCCGAGATCTCGATACTCGTTCAGAACTATGCTCAATAAACCTCTAATTAAGAAGCATGGTTTCAAAAAGCCTACGGTGCCAGGTAAAAGCCAGTCAAAAATCATTAAAATTAAAAAAAAAAAATGAAAACTGAATACAGTGCAAGTAACACAGAATGTTACGAACAGTCTTTAAAAAAATAAAACAGATTTTTATATTTCAAATAATAGTTATTTTTCTGCGAGCTGCAATTGTTTTAGCAGTTTTTTTTTCAACAATTTTTTCTATTTTTTTGCAGTTTTAAGATTTTTTACGTTCTTGTTTCCAAAAAGGCGCTAAAAACTGTAGTCGAGTAAAACTGTGTTATTACCGTTTAAATTACGCAATTGTAAGATTTTAAGCTTTTAAAATTAACTATTGTAAGCCTGCTCGCTCACTCGAAATTAGAGACGAAAAATCGAAAATATCACACCCGTTTTTCTCGACACTGGGAAATTTTTTTGAAATATCTTTAATGTTGTTTGAATCACGACTGAAAGGGCTTCAAAATGATATATCACTCAACACTCTCCGATGATTACTTGTGGTAGCTGATATTCCGTGGGGGAAAAAACTAAAACCGATGGTCGGAACAAAAGATATCATTTAACCTGACTACCAATCGGAATGAAATGCTATAACGATAACGACTTCAAATTAGAGATGCGTTTTGAGGGACTGATTTTATAACATGCTATTTCTTCAATTTTCCAAGTTTTGCCTGTGAGCTGATATACTGACAATTGCCTTTTTAAAAGATTGCTCTGAAATACCAAACTCTGAAACGTTTACAAGATTTCGTTTGCTTTCATTCACTTGAAGCACTGCTTTTTGTATTCACCCACTTGAAGTACATTTCGAAGTGTTCTGGCGGGACGGGACCACTTTTCGGAACAAGCTTTTTGAATGGGACTCCTTTTCTAAAAGAGTGTTGGGCTCGCTTTTCCATGTCTTTGCAGATGTTATTGGAAAACATAGTTTACATCAGTAAAATTTCACGCCATTAATAAACACCTCATAAAAAATTGAAGAAACCTGGATTTTATAAAAAAAACCTGCCATGACTAGCAATCGAGCAAAGCCAAACAAAAGAAAACGTGATCAGAGATCCAAATCAGATTAAAATCTAGTTCTAGCATAACGTACAAACTACGATACAAAACCAGTATCATATAAAATTGAAAGAAAATTGCCAACATACCGATGGAAATGCGTTAGAAAATTTTGAAAATTTTTATAGCGATAGCCATCGGCTATTCATTTTATTTAAAAAAAAACATGCATTAGAAATCACGATCTATATTGATTTCAATAGAATCCGCCAGAAGGCCTAGAAGCCTGTTAGTACCCATCTGGTTATTTTTTCTTTTTTCAAATAACCCTTCAGATGCAGCTTGCTTATTGAGCCAATGTCATTTAGTCATAACATTTTATGAAATGGTATAAATGGTTAACACCCAAGTAAGACCTTTGGACACGGTAACTCTTCTTAAACTTCTGCTCACCTATAAATGCGATGGCTCCTGGGAAATGCAGCATGATATCGGACGAGAACTGGTCGTCTATGGGGACCTTGAGGTACTTGATCTCCCCGACTAGATCCTCGAAAGCTTCAGAGTCTTCAGAATTACTTGTTGTACTTCCCCCTCCCCCTTTCCCTCTTTCTGTCGTTGACTGGCACTCGTCTGAATTTTCATTCAATGATTCTCTAGTTGGAGTCTGATCTTCAGATTTGCTTGTGAAGTTCGTAGCGTTCAAGTCACATCTGAACATTAAAAAAAAAGTCAAGAAGCATTAAAAAAATTTAAAAACACCTCAAAATTGATTTGGGATTGTGAAAACCCATCAGATGCAGAGCAAAATAGTTTGAAGCTTGTTCAAATAGAGAGGGCGCTGGACTAAAACAGTAGACCCCCTTCCACAATTGTCAACCACCGTCACTAACTACTTCATAATGTCAATACAAAAGTTATCAACCCTCGTTTGCATTAATCAACCTAACTCTTTATTTGGGCAATATGTATCTTTGGTAGCTTTTAGAATTAATAATTTTCCCCAGGTATTCTTTTCAAGCTAATCAAAAAATAAAAATTAGAACCATTTGAGCAAAGAACACCTACTTGGGACAACTTGCAGTCATTTCATACGCGTCCGTATCAGAGAGGTTAACAGATTTCTTCTCGAAATGGTTGGGGAGGTCGGGAGTTACATTTAAGATGGCCCTGATACCGTGCTTCTTGAGGGCCAGGGCATCTCTGGAGTCGACCTAGGTCAGCGACATACTAATTCCATCACAACCACCAAATTAACTTCTCTAACATTGTATATCTTCTAAACTATCTCAGTGATTTAAAATTTCGTCCTTGAGTAGACCTTAGACACCCAGACGTTCGAGTAAATTTTAAAGCATCATTCTCTAAAGAAATTATTGTAACAGCTGGTAAATTGTGATAGCAAATTTCAGATGCGTTTCAACACATGCCATAACGATTCGGACACACTTCGCTGTTTTGTGAAGTAGAATTTCACTTTCGGTAAAACTGGTTGACTGAGAATAGGGCATGTCAGAACTTTGCTCTTATTGCATTTGAAAACATGGAGTCGTGTGATTACCTGGTCACCGAGGTAGAGGTTGGGGAGGATCTGGGTAAGGCTTCCGGCTCGCTTTGAGGTCAGATAGAGGGGGTTCCGGGAACTGGAGCCAGAGGAGTTGCAACTGGAGTGTCTGAGACAGGTCGAGCTGCTGTTGAGCGAAGAAGAAGTGATGTGCTTCTTATGACCCTGCCAACCAATCATTTCAAAATCAACTAATTTATTTCTTTTCGAAATGAACTAATTTAATGAAACCGAATTGAAGCTGATTTTATGCTAATGTTGAAATGGATAAACGGGCAGAGTGAGTGGAAGAGGACGTCTCACTTCCCACAGGATTTCGAAACCCTCGCCACCCAAAACTTTCCCCTTTGGTACCGATTTATGCCACCCATTTCGGTCGACCAGCCCTAATCTTTTAAAATGCAACTTGGGCGCAAAAGCAAAAAACTAATTTTTGGAGACAGAGTATAGAATACATGAAACACGTTTGCGCGATTCTCAGCCAATAATGATCAAATCGCTAGTTGCTAATGTTGTTTTAATTTGATGTTTTAGTCGCGTTTATCATCGGCAAAATTTCGGCTTTTTGAATCCGATTTTTTTTCGCCTGTAACACACTCATCTTAAAGGTAATTATATTGTTATCTTCTTTTAAAAAAATTCTAACTGGAATTTATGCCCCTTTTTTATATACCAATTTATACATCTCAATTTTGGAGGAAAAAAGCAAACATAATCGCAATTATTTGAAAGCAAAAATCTTCAAAAAAATTTACAGCGCGCATTCTTGGGCCCATTTAAAAAAACATTGCCTTAGGTGCAGAAAATTTTGTCTGAATGGAGTCTTTTTGTTCTTTTCGCAAAGCTTCACAAAGAAAGAAATCAACTAACATAGCAAAAAAATCCAGAGTGATCAAATATTAAGTCTCAGTTCACTTAAAATTACTAGCATAAAGAACACACAAACGCTAGCAGTGGCAAATTCAGGGAGGATGTAGGATTTTCTCGAGGGGGGTGCGGATTTTCAAAAACTTCCCAAAAAAATTTGACCTTTTTTTAAGTCGACCAAATTGATTTTCCGAGCGCTCCCAGAACAATATAAAGACCTTGTTTGGCCAAATGTTTTTGATATTTTGACCGCTGCAGGTAAATTTCGGAAAAAACGGGTCAAAAATGTAATATATTGGCGCCCAATGTAAATATTGGCGCCCAAGACGCCTTAAGAAAATTTTAAGACTATTCAGCCAAAATGATTGTCATAAAAATATACCAAGGGGGTCCCTTTGGTTGGTGAGGGAGTCGAATCCAAGAAGGAGGCGTTCACATCTTAGTGATTAGACCCCCTCATCAACCAAAGGGTCCCCCGTTTGGTAGTAGTTTTTGACCCTGGACTTTGTGGCGTATTCGGTAGTGATCGTGCCTGACCGTCAATGATATGATAGCGGTATCAAATCGAACGTTTGCCGCAATTTGCAAGGTGAGAGCTACAAGATAGCCACAGCTTAATGTGCCCATGATTAAGTGAGCTCTAGATCAACTTTTAATGATTAACCTCCGGGTTAGGCCTCCCGGCTAGTTGACTTTAAAAATAGCCGACTGACAGCTGGAAAAAAATGAAAGCAACGAAACAGAGAAAAAACGGACTTACTTTCAATAAAACTAACTCAATTCGAAAAACTAGCTTAATAGATTGTTAGTCCAATTTTATTCTGCTGGGAAACCTATAAATTGAATAGCATTTTCGAAACCAGAAGTCTCACATTTTTTTCGCGCCATTTCAACGTTCAATTTTGGAGAAGGCAATTTACCACATTTTTTTTTACCAAAGCGCATTCATTAATTCATTTTTGTGTATGAATGCTATCTGTCATTAGCTGTTATTAGAATGTTAGTTATTAGAGTATTTTAAAACTTTTCCTGAAAACAAAAAAAAATCATCAAGACCTATAAAAAAGTCTTCACTACTTTCATCGACTCCTAATAATTAATCTCCTTGTTACGCCTCCGGGCTAGTTGACAAAAAAAAATGTCTGCAATATGGACTGACCGTTTCCCGAGATTGCACACTTAAAAGATTGGAGTCGCGGAAAAGGTCGACAGATTTGCTTTTGGAGGTCAAAATTCCACTGGAGAGGGAAGGCAGGTCAGTTGAGGATATCGGTGTTCCATTTTTAATGTGAGGTCGCAGAAATCCCGTTCTCGGTAAACTATCAGTACACTGTGTCTGGTTGTAGTCAGTTTGACCGTTTAAGTAAGATAAGCTAGGGTTTTGACCTGTCGAAAGATCTGGCGCGTTGCATCCAGCTGATACCTCGGCACCTTTTGGCGACTCCAGCTGAGCTAGATCTGGTGCCAAGTTGAAAGCTCTGAAGTCTCGTAAGCTAGAAAAAAAAACAGAAATAATGCGAAAGAAACTATGTTTTTAGGTGTTTCAGTTTTTTATTGACAAATATGAAAAATGGGGAGGAACCCGTATTCGTATGTGTTCTAGTTTTTTCTATTTTTTGCATTCGACACATTGATGTTCTACCAACCACTCTCAAGAAAAATGAAGTAATTGTATCCTCAATGAGACAAAAATCCTCAGGAGAAAAAAATGCTAGCTTGAAATTCAAAAAAAAATCTTAAAGCTCTTCAAAATTCACAAATCTTTTAAAATTGACATAAACTTTGCCAAGACTAACCCAAAATGCCACCTTATGGATGCTTTAGGAATTCAAGATATTTGACGTGATCCCTGGAATTGTAGTACGACGCGACGGACTCTGCGTGAGATTAGGTTACCGACTAAAATCGCGATGAAGTAGAGCATCATTTCAGCCTTACAAAATACATTAAAAAGCTGACAATTTTTCTAAAAAGCCTTTTTGTAACTTTTTCATTTAAAACAAACTTACAAAAAATCAAAGACAAAACGTCAAAAACATAATTTGAGCGCGATCAAATTATCTCAACATTTTTTTCTAGGAAAAAAATAAATGGCCTTACAAATCTTGTCAAGGAAAATCGATCAGATAAAAACCTTCAATTTTTCCCCTTTTTGTTGCCTTCATTTAACAAAGTAAAAGAAATTAATTTTAGAAAAAATCTTGAAAGTCGAACCGCGAAAAAAAAACATCGCCAACAGACAGTTGGAACAGAGTCAATGAGCGCAGTTAAACAGAAAAAATCAACCTCGACAAAAAACATGGTCAACAGACAGTTGAAAAAGAGTCCATGAACGCAATTAAACAGAATAAAAACTGACTTAATTTTTTAACGAAATTTCAAAGAAAAAATAGATGCGCTCACAGCTCTTGAGTTTCTAAAAGAATTTTTGGTTGACACTTTTTCAATAAAATTAACCCAAATCGAGAAAATTGGATCAGTAGAAAAAACTTTTAAATCGCTGTATTAAATTCGACTGGCGTGTAACGCACCTCCCGTACTCATAATAAACCGCATCTATTGGAAATAAAATCTGCATTCTTTGAGTGTACTCTGACACCACCCAATTAAAAGGTCTTTTATATTAGCTCTTCGAAAAAATTAAAATGAACTAAGAAACGTCACATATGGGAAACCAAAAGCAATTGAGCAGTCGCATTCGGCGCAAAAGATTTGCAAATTTTGAGAGTACTTTTTATAGTACCCAACTACAACGTTGGGAAATTCAAATCTTGAGAAACTTCACCCTAAGTTTTCTTAAAAAGGTATTTTTTGAGAATCAGAGTAACTTGGATAACTACCAAGACTTCAGCAGTCTTATTTGATGGCAATACTTTGAAAGTACCCTGACAGCACACAATTACAGGGCTGGGAATTTGACTTTAAAGAACTATTTTGTTATTTGAGTTTTCAGAAAATGTCCGAAAAAAATCACAAAATTCGTCTTATCTCTTTAACTAAAAAGATTTGAGCATTCTTAATTGGAGGCCAAATTTCCAACCCCTGGGTTAGGAATTTCAAACTTTGAAAAAAAATTAAATTAATTTTCATTAAAAATTTTTTGAAAAAAGCACAAAAAAACGTCATATCTGGAAAAGTGCAAGATTTTGAGCAGTCTTATTTGGAGGCAAAAATTGCATTTCATGAGAGTACCTTGACCGATTCCAATAACAGGATTGAGATCTCCAACGTTTTGGAATTTTTTAACTTCTGAGTTTTGGAAAAGTTCTGGAAAAAAAATCATCGCGACCTAAAAGGGAGTCTGAACTACGCTCATCGCCTCTTAAAAACCATCACGCACGGTCTTTGTAAGAATCTTCACTACGTTCATTGACTCTGAAAAAACAAACCACCCTACTTTGCTCACTTCGTTCCTGAGACTTAATTAACAGCCTAGATAAAAATATATACCCCAGCTCAATCGTGGCCATGTAACAGTTCCCATTGACAGTGTTTTTTATTTGACATCATTTCATGTTCCGACCATTTGAGAAACGGAGAAGAACTTTGTATTCGGCTGTGTTTTAGTCTGTTTTGTTTTGTTTTCCACGCAAATTCATCAAATCTCAAACAATCATGGGAAAAAATTGACTGATATATCATATCAAAGCCGTTTCAGTCTCAATTCGAACGACAGTAAAAAATTTCAAAAATTTTTCTGAGTGTCGAGAAAAATCGGTTTGAAAATTTCGATTTTTCGTCTAATTTCAGGCGAGTGACAGGCTTACAATAGCTTCTTGATGCTTAACTTAAGCCTTGAAAATTTACTTATCAAATAAGGTTAGTTTTTGGAGTTTTAAGAGCCATCTTAGGAATCAAAAACTTCTGAAAAAAAAAATGAAAATTTTTTCAATTTTTTTCTGGTCATTTTTCTCCAAAAAATGATTTCCAATTTGCGGATTTTTCTATGACTATCGATTATGCCTAAGCTCTACTTCTTTGGTCAGAGCCTCTTATCACCACGCCGAAAAAAAACTTAGAAAAAAACTAGCGTATAACTCACCTCCCGTGCTTCTAATTTTTTTAACAACTCAAATAGAACCGCATATACTAAAAATAAGATCTGCATCCTTTGAGCGTACTCTACTCTGAGACCACACAATTACAGGGTTCGTTATTATACATTTTGCAAAGTTTTTTATTCAAGTTTTTTTAATACAAATTTTGAAAAACCGTAAAATTTCATGAAGTTTTTTATTCAAGTTTTATAAAAGTTCTTTGAAAAAATTGAAGATAAACTAGGAAACGTCACATTTAAGAAATTAAATGCAATTGAGCAGCCGCATTTGCACGCAAGATTTGAAAGTGCTGAGAGCACACTAACAGTCCTCAACTACAACGTTGGGAACTTCAAATTTTAAAAAAAATTAAATTTAAGTTTTCTAAAAAAAGATATTTTATGAAAACCAGATATAATTTCACATCTCGAAAAGTACAAAAAAAATTGAGCAGTCTTCTTTCAAGCAATAATTGCAATCCTTGACAGTACTCTGACAGCATGTAAGTACAGGGTTGGAAATTTCAATTTTGTGAATTACTCTGTAATTTGAGTTTTTTGAAAATTAGTGAAAAAATCAAAAAAATCGTCTTATCTTGTAAACTAAAAGAGTTGGAGGCCCAAATCGCAACCCCTGAGGTTACGCTGACAGCCCCTAATTACAGGTTAGGAATTTCATTTTTTTGAAAAAAAAAAGTTTTAATTTAAGTTTGAAAAAATCACCAAAAACGTCATATCTGGAAAACTACAAAACTTTGAGCCTTTATTTTTGGAGGAAAAATTTGCAACTCCTGAGAAAACCCTGACAGAGCCACAGTATAGATGAGAACTTCAAATTTTGTGAAAATTTTTTGGATCTAAGTTCTCTGATAAATTTTGAAAAAATCCTCAAAAACGTCATATCTCGAAAACTACAAGGATTTGAGCAGTCATAATCAGAGGCAAAATTTGCAACCCAATGACAGTACCCTCACAATTTTCAACAACAGGATTGACATCTTGAAAGTTTTGGAAGTTTTTAAAAACCAATTTTCTTTGAAAATTTTTGAAAAAATCATAAAAAAACGTCATATCTGGAAAACTAACAAGATTTGAGCACTCACAATTGGAGGCAAGATTCACAACCCCTGAGAATACTTTGGCAGCCCCCACTAAAGAGTTAGGGATTTCAAATTTCTTTTAAAAACACAAAAAACGTCATATCTAGAAAACTACGAAGTTTTGACAAGTGAGATTTGGGGCCAAGATGCGCAACCCCTAAGAGTACCCTGATAGCACCCAAAACTGAGAAATTTTTTTTTAAATTAAATTTTCTACAAATTTATGAAAAATCTCGAAAATTGACGTTTCTCGTAAACTAAAATTGCCGTATCTCGTATATGGAGGCCAGAATCGCAAAAACTGGGAGAACCCTGACAGCATCCCACTATTGAGCAGCTAATTTCAAAATTGATGAAATAAACACTGAACTTAAACTGGAAAATCCAAAAAAATTTCAACCATTGCAATATACGATAGAGCTTAAACATGCAAAAATTCTTTTGTTAAACATGCAAAAATAATACGTTGAAAAAGTTTAAGCATGGCGAGATAGTGAAGCCCGCATTTAAAAATATAATAGATTTGTTGTATTTTTTAAGAGTTAAGATGGAACCTTCTGTGCTACTTGCACAGTAACCTGCTATCCTTGTTAGTTATTTGAAACATTTTTTAAATCGAATTACAAGGCACAGCCAAAAATGCAGTAGGTTACAATCGATTATGAAATGCATCTCGGGGTATAGTTCTTTTTGCTAAAGATGCTAATTTACTTTGTCAAAAAAATAGATCACGCTTAGTGACCCCTTTGGAAATAAAAACGGGTATGCTAAGTGACCCACTTCCAATAAAAAGTTGAGTTATGTTACGCGAATGGTTTGCTAATTGGTCAGCCATGCAGCATCATTACAGATTTCTGGAAAACAAACAGCCATTCCTTAGTGGACGATGGACAAGGATTTTCTATCACTACAAAAAAACTGAAACCGTTGTCCAATCGTTTACTATTTAGATTACTATTACTAAATAAATAGATGATAAAATTAAAATTAAATCAATTAAATTACTCTAAGTGACATGTCTTCAACTTTAATATTCTTAATTAGTATTTTTTCGGTCGATCATACTCCATTAATTCGATTGTATCGTATTCGTTTACTCTAGTCTGAATTTGATCTGCATATCAAATTCATGACCTGGTTACTAGTTGTCAATTTGCGAGCACAAACAGTCTTATGTAGACTGATAGTCCCAGACTTTCCCGCCCTCAATTGACGATTAGATGTCATTAAGTTATCTTATGACTACTACGGGCAACAGAAAGGTGTTTTTAATGAAACAATTAAAGGCAATATGTTATTATTTCATGAACATCTAAACATTAAAAGCGGGTCGAACTGACTGAGTGACGCATTGTCT